CACAAATAGTGAGATTTTTGTTTAAAATCTTCAATGAGACCTATAGTTAAGTCTTCATTGTGAGATTCCCACACCCTCTTTCGCGAAGCTTTATGTTTTTTTAAGAACAGCCACTATGACGCCTCCACCATCCTTTTTCCTGCTGTGTGTAGTATATAGACATAATACCTAGTATAAAGACATCATACCTATCGTCAAAATATTCCCTGCCAAAAACTGTGTCATTAAGCCATGACTCAGTCAACACTAAAATATCATAATTATTTAATAGTACAGTGAAATGTAATTTTCTGTTTTGGTTCTGAGGCCTCTGACATTTTGGTAATATATATGAATATTGAATTCTAAGTAATATATCTAATAAACATGCTAAAAGTAATATAATAATTAAACAACGGAATAAATATTTTAAGTTAGTGTTTTCAAAAAATCTTCATTTTTGATAATCATGGAGGGGCTTTCATTATTCTTCCGAATGAAAATGCAACCATTTCGGATCCAAATATATTCATGGCCCTTCTCCTTAGCAGTAGTTCTAGTGGCGGCATGTAATTTCTTGTTTGCAATGGTTAGATGTTCGGAAACGTATACAGGTTGTTTATTACTAGCAAAACCAAGGTGGAGAGCATTCAGTTTGTCTTCCGTACGCTTTTTTGATTTATTAAATTTAATAACTGCAGCTAGGACAGTATCACGAGCCTGTGGTGTTACCATCTTCATAACAATACTCCGGGGCGATCAGAATTGGGCTTTAGTTTAGCCACACGATGTATACCTCGGATGCTTGAATTAGGAAACTCGCATGACACAGTGCATAAAAGTTTATCAACTACGCTGAGCAAGTTCTCGCTCCTGTTCTTCGGAACACATTGTATCTCGATATTGCAGTCTCTGGAAAGCTGTTCCATCTGGACTACCTTCAAAGTGAGCTCCGACTCAGTTATCTGTAAAGAGTTCACGGTCTCCAACTTTTTAAGTTTCTGTCGAAATTCAGCATTGATTGCATCCTGACATCCAGAGAGAAATTCAACAGAGTTTGATTTTTCATCAAACTCCTTCCGCAACAGTGTAAATTTGTTGCTTATTTCTATTATTTCGGCACGAAGTTGTCACAAAGCAATCTTGAATTGATCGAAGTTATCTTACTGCGTATTGAATTTCTCATTCATGTCCCTGCGGATGTCCTCAATCGCTACCAGAATAGGTGATAATTGCTCGCGTTCTGAATGTTTAGTCGTAGAAGTGGCCATTTTATTTTTATTACGCGCATTCGAGATGACAAACACAGCTGATTGGTTACCGTCACTTATAGGAGTATTTGGTGGCGAGGGTTGTAACCTGGGCATCGTTTAAGTTTATCGTAAAAATTGCGAGCGTAGACGTCACGCCAAGTGACGTCGGGTAGAGCGTAGTATCCGAAATTGTAGCAGCGTAGACGTGGGACGTCAATTGACTCGTAGAGTGTTACAGGGCAGTTCCGAGCTCCGTGGTTGAACGGCCCGCACAGCGAATTCACGCGCCGCCGGGCTTGGGTTCAAATCCAACACCCGGTAAAGAATTCAAATACTCAACTCAATTCATTTCACCCAAGGAGTAGCCCACCGCTATACTTCCCCCAGCAAGTCGCACGATAGTGGCGCTCCGGCAGCAGAAATCCATTCGCGCGGCGACAGGTCACAACAGCGACGCCAAATGCACCACACGCGCAAGCGAAATAGATGCGCACAATCCAATATGGAGGCAAAGCCCAACGGTCACCAGCGCAAGTTGATAAGAGAGGATCCGATTTTCGACACGCACCCACTCGCAACCGCAACCGGGGCAGCAGCGATAGACGAATAAAGGCGTCCTCGCCAAGGCAAACTCCGCGTAAGATAAAACGAGAGGGCCTGACAGTGACTAAATTGTAAAACTGCACTTGTAAATTGGTAATGGGAAAGAATACATAAACAAATTAAAAAATACAAAGCAAATACGAAACGCGTCCGTGCCATCAAAAATCCGTAATTGTGTGTTCTCAATTCAGTTCTCGCCAGTGACCGCGTAAAACATTTGTATACAAAATTTTGTTTCTTCTTATGACCGCTAGCGGTGCTATATGATTTGCCATACAAAATTGTTAAGTAATTTACGCCGTCGCTAGCGACAACTGTCCCAGTAATCTCATGGTAGAGGCACTGGTCGCTTGCAAAAAACGCGCGTGACGCTCGTAGCGAATTCCGCTACATGTTGCGTCGCTACTTTGTGGCCTTTTATAAATAAAATCATATATTTGTAATTGACGCTCGACACTGACGCTTGTAGCAATAAGCGAATTCGTTAAGGGCGTCGCAGCTCGTGACCCTCGCGTAAGTTGAATCTAAACAAAAACTCTGCGTACTACCCGCCGTAGCCGTCGCCCAAGGTGGCACTTTGACACTCACATTTTTGTTGGTGTCACTTGATCCACGTCCTACGTGTCTCATGTTTATGTGTGAAATTTAATTTGAAATTGATAATTAGCTTTTCGGTGATGAAACCTGTACTTCGAAGAAGGTAGACAACCCTCGAAAAACGTGTAAAGTCCCCACCCCGCATTTGACCAGCGTGGCGGACTGTTGCCTAAACCCTCGCCTGAGAGGACATCCATGCCCAGCAGTGGAACGTATAAATAGGTTGATGTTGTTATTGTAAATCACGAGTATTTGCTTTTCAAACAAACCAACATTTAGGGGACTTTACAGTTTCCAATTTCGACCGGAAAAAATGTATAAAATCCAATAGTAATTGAACAAATTACTTCTATATTATTAGCACAAGCATATAAATTATCGATGAATTTCAAACGCATATTACTACTTCAATATTAGATAGCAATCGAGTTCGATGTTATCGATTTCGCTCGAGTACGTTCGAAAGAAAAACGACCAAACGATTCGGTTGCACACTGGCTGTGGCGATGGAAGATGTATTCGAGGCTTCTGCGTCGGTTGGATCATGGTTCGATCGTGTCCTCTAGTGAAAATATTGTTTTATTTTATGTTTTAACCTTACGACCGCGAGTTTCTTATAATTATTAATACAAAGATCGAACACTCAGAAAAATTCCTTCGATCCGGCCGGATTCGAAGCGATGTCTTCTAGCATACCGTGGCAGACGCTATACCCACTAAGCCACGGAACAAACCAACGGATCTCACGAATTTATCTATGTGCTTTTTGTCGTATCTGTGTATTTGGTTTTTCGACGACTTTTTAACCGTAGCGCCACCTATGACAAATCTATGAAAGTATTTCGTCACCCAGTTAGATACCTTTACAGCTACCAGCCCCGGCTAGAGATGTCGCTATTCACTGTATTTAAATTTTTATTCAAAGATATTTATTTTTTACGTGACATTACTCCTCTAACAGACCACTGACAAAAGTTTCATTCCCTAGAAGCCAAGCCTACCTATATAGTGATGTGACATGGTATGAATGTCCACCTTATATTAATTCAATTCTCCAAAATCAAAGAAGACAATAAAATGCATCTATGAATCCATACTTAACTAGAATATATGTATAAATAACACAAGGAAAATCTTAATATTTATTAATTTATTTCCCTACCGTTTATCTTATTATTATATATATTATTTATATTCTTTATACAGTACCGTTTAGGTTCTACGGTTTGTCTCAGAGAAAAGTTTAAGGAGACCGGGATCACGACTGTGGCATCACAGTACATTGACTCAAATATTTTATATGGCCATAAAAATATTCATAATTTTAATAAGAAAGAAGATATCCATAATATTAACCTTACAGCTAAGTCCAAACTCATGGTATCACGATTTCGTTTAACCAAGGTAAACGACTCTTTTATGGGGAACTGTATACGTTTTTACAATAAGATTCCGGAGCATATATTAAGATTATCATTACCTAAGTTTAAAAACTACATTAAAAATATTTTGATTGAAAAGTCGTATAACAAAATTGAAGACTACGTGTTAGATAAAGGTGCATGGAAAGACGTCATGGCTCTAGAAACCACACAAATTTGATTCAAAGTTTCAATTTCTTGCTCGTTCTTCTCAGGGATGTGTATATTTATACTTTTCAATCATTAACTTACAATTATATGGACGTCGGGTCCGCGCTAAAAACTTATAGGACGTTAAAATCGTATACAGAGCGTCATTCACGCTTTAGTCTTCGTTTGTTCGACTGACAGCGAAGCAAGCAAAATTAGACAGTACTGCGATGACATTACAATTTAAATTCAACGTTTTGGCTTTTTCATATTCCTTTACATGTCACAACGTTTAAATAAACCTATTTTTAAGTCAACCGACTTGGGACATTTTTTTCGTGGTTTTTGTATTAGACCCGTCATCCATTTATTTGTAAGTCAATGTTTTCAATTGAAAATTAAAGGGCGCTTTAAAATGTCAAACGCTTTAAGGCGCCATTGACGTATCAGCCAGGTTAATGTAAAACGCTTTTAAACATGCTGAGGTGGTGACCTATTCGACGGGGTATGCATAGTAGCATACAACGTTTATTGTTTTTTGTCAATCCTGATTTTACTCTGTTTCTTTTTTATATTTTTATTTTTTTGTTTCATGTTTTTTTTAACTGTTTACTTTTTATGTATTTGCCTTCGTCGAATAAATGATTTTCTATTCTATTCTATTCTATTCTAAACATACACGGCGGGACTGATATATTTTACACATAATGATGATTGTTGCTCGTTTCCTAATTTGCTTTGTGCCGTGCATGATGAAAGTACATAGGTAATCCCAATATAGAGTAGGCACTAAAAAAATCAAACTCAAAAAATCGTGGAATCACATCTATTTGCCAAGTTTTATTGAAACTCTTTCCAACATAAAAAGAATCATCAAAATCGGTTCAAAAATCGCTAAACATACATACAAAAAAAGAAAACGAAATGCAGGACGAATTGAGAACCTCCTTTTTTAAAGTCGGTTAAAAATGAAACCAAAAAGGGACTTGTATCATACCCGAATATAGCGACAGCAGGGAATGTCATGGCTGCTCCAAGTAAAAATACAGCTCCAGGCAGAATATTGAGCGTCGCCATATACACTCTGGCGTACAACGGCCCGTACACCAATGGCATCATGGCTTCTGCAAGACCGAATAGAGAGTTGACTTTGCCTGAAACAAAATGTCCACTTAGTTGTCATTTTAGGGGAGCGTTTATTCTCAAAAGGTAAGTAACGTTACTTATACATTGTTTGTAAAATACTATTAACCTTGGGCTATACTACCAACATCATAAAGAACAATCTTTGTACCATGACTTTTGATAATTTGTCAGATTTTACTCTCGTACAAAAATAATAGTTATTTGTTATGACATGCTGCAAATTTGTTGTTTGACGCAAGTGCTTGTATTAAAACCTGAGCCAAGCAAAGGAGTCTAAAATTGAACCACGATCAAAGCAAGTGATTCAAAAATAGAATCCTGAGCTTAGAGAGGATTTCAAGGCACGAGACGCAAAACAACTTTGCTGCCGAGCAAAACACACAACTTTTCACCTCACTATAGCGAGGAAAATGGTAGATGAAAGAAAAACAGTTGAACTATAACGAATGAGTTTTTCATCACCGCAAAACTCAGTCTCGCTCATGTATTGTTTCTTTTCAATTTATTAGAGTAAAATCCAATTCAAAGTACTGAAATGAATAAAAGAAAATTTGAAAAAAATACGTTTAACTTTGGGTAGGTACGTTCTGAATTTACACCACATACGTTTTCTTCTTCTTCTTCTTTGTATTTATAATTTTATTAACGAAATTATTTTAGTTCTTCGACAAATCAAAATAATCCAATTAAACATAATCTCAGTACAAAGTACTAAAAAAACCGACCTCAAAAGTACGTAGAATAACGTCTATTTGCCAAGTTAGTAGTTGGCCACTATACAGGACTTGACACTGGAGATAATAAAAATCGGTTCTCACTACTCGAAGTATATTGAGAGAAAAACGCCTTGAATTGGAGAAATAGCAAAATCAACCATTAAAGTAATTGCTCCTAAATTAAAGTTAGGCGCTATTTATTAAAATGAATCTTCATGCGTGAGCAGCCACCCTTCGAGGTGGATGATTTTCTTCAAAATGAGATGGAACCATTATGGAAGTACCCCCTTTCCAATAAAAAAGCATCATGAAAATCGGTTAACAAATACCGGAGTTATCGCGTAACATACATACAAAAAAAAAGAACATACAGTCGAATTGAGAACCTCTTCCTTTTTTGAAGTCGGTTAAAAATTAATGTTATCATTGTCAATTTAATGTCATTATAAATTGTCAGAATAAATCATACTTAAGACGAATCGCGTTTCGGAACGTTTTTTTAATCAAACGAAAAAGTTTATCTTCGGATGCGTTCTGAATTTGCACCTCATCAATTTTTATTCTTGTTTGTACTTATAATTTGTATGATTATTGAAATTATTTTAGTTCTTCGATGAATTAAAATAATTTAATTAACAAAATTAGTTATCGTTGTCAATTTAATGTCAACAATAATAGGAATAAAATATACCAACTCATTTATATTACATAAATAATGATACGTCCAATCGCGTATTTGAACGTGTCATTATGTTTATTTTTTATGGATAGAAAAAGTCATGCGCACCACAGTCCATCGTCAAGTTGGAAGTTTTAAAAACGTTTTAAATTTTTATTGAATTGATATTCAATTATTTTTTGGGAAATCATTCCACTAGTTTGTTATAATTATGAATACAAAGATCGAACACTCAGAAAAAATTCCTTCGGTCCGGCCGGATTCGAACCGACGTCTTCTAGCTTACCTTGCCAGACGCTATACCAACTAAGCCACAGAACGAACCAGCGGATCTCACGAATTTTTCTATATGCTTGCGTCGTATATTTGTATTTGGTTTTTTCAACGACTTTTTTGTCAAAAATTAATTGAATATCAATTCGATAAAAATTTAAAATACAATGAATAGCGACATCTCTCGCCAGGGCTGATAACCGTAAAGATATCTAACTGGGTGATAAAACTTTCATAGATTTCTCATAGAAAGCGCTATGACTAAAAAGTCGTTGAAAAAACCAAATACAAAGATACGACCCAGGCACATAGAAAAATTCGTGAGATCCGCTGGTTCGTTCTGTGGCTACGCTAGCCTGGAAAAATCACTTTTGCGCGCAGATTTCTAATGAGAAACAAAGCTTTACCGAGCTAGTGAGGTGAAAAAAATATTTTTAAATGGATCGTTTTAAACGAGAACAGCAATAGCATCTAGGGTGCTTTCTTTGAATTTTATTAATCGACTTCAAAAAAAGGAGGAGGTTCTGAGGTTCGACTGTTTTTTTTATATGTATGTTACGCGATAACCTTTGTGATGCGAATAATTCCTGAACCGATTTTGATGATTCTTTTTTTGTTGGAAAGAGGGTACCTCAGTAGTAGTCCCATTTAAATTTGAAGACAATATGCCACCTCTAAGAGTAGCTAACTAGGGGATTAAAGACTTTTGAGGTCGGTTTTTTTAGTACTCTGTACTGAGATTATGAATGACAGCACGCAAAAGGCGTTGCTAAATAACTTACTACAAAGTCATAGAACCAAATTTATATTGTTTATGATGTCACTAATGTAGTCCTATAAGGTTATTAGTATTCTACAAAATAACCCTGGATACGATGTGTCGATGTGAAATGACGATGAACCAGGTGCAAAAACGATTTATTTTAGAAATTCTCAACAGTCACTACAAACTTACCACACAACAAGTACCTAATGCACGAGGTTACTTATCAAAATACCGAAATGACATTTTCCAGAAATAAATAATTATTTAATATTTAAATTTAATTAATAAATAATTATTTTTTTTTGTTAATCCGGGGGCAATTTGACCAACGGTTTCGTTATAATTCGGGTTTCGGGGTAATGAAAATTCGAACAAACGTTATTTCAAGTTTGTGATAGGTTACCACCGCACGGATTCGATTTTTCATCTTTCTAAGGGTCGAAACACATAACTCAATCTCAATCAAAAGGAAATCTCCGAGCTCGCACGAGGCATCGCAAGAATTTGTGAATTGCTCCGCATCGCGCATTCGTACGATGTTAATTTTCTTATGTTTTTTTCCTATACCTTCTTATCAATAACAGCAGTGCAACACTATGTACGATCCATGTCACTACCTAGTTTAAAAAATACGTTCAGGACGGTTGATGATCGTGGATAGAATGGTTACCCGAACCGTGGCAGTGCGATGCCTTGCCGCATTAATCGCATGCCAGCAGTTCGCGTCGCAATTGTCTGCGTTGCGAATTCGCATCGCGCCGATTCCCAGTTTCGTGTTTCCACCCTTAAACCTACTAAGCCCAGTTTATTTATATTCGCAATTAAAAATGGTATAACGTCTTTGCAACAACACGCACGGTTATCGGAAAACAAGAATGTGTTGAAATAAAATAATTATCTACCCACACGCGTGTCCGAGAAAATAACTAAGTAATACCCACCTTTTTCACGAGTCATTACCTTTTCCTTTAGCATAAGACAATCAGAGTAATAAAATTTTATTGCTACGTTAGGGTGCGTACAAATCTTGCAAATGCGCAGCGAATATGATGCAAGTGCGCTGCGCGCCACCACCATCTTTTGATTTGTAAACCACCTTATGGGTTAAAAGACTCTTTTCGATGTTATTAGAAATCAAAATTTTTGAAGTAAGCTCCGCCCACGTCCCCCGTATGATTGATCGCTTACTGCCGCTTGGGTGATTCGCTAGATGGCGTGAGTAATGTATTACGAAAAATGGGCACGAATGCTGATATTAAATGAACTCGGGAAAGCGTCTTAAGTGCACTTCTCTTATCATATCTCACGCAAAGCAAGTAAGCATAAATAGCGGGCAAGCGGCGCGCGAACGGCTCTCGAACAAATCGCATACGTAAAGCCGGGTACTAGCAAACTGCAACCGTAACCGTTGCATGTTATGTTACAAAAAAATCATAGTGTGTACGTGGTTTGCCGCGAGCGGAACGCGTGCGGTTCGCAGTGAGCCGACGATAACCAATGGTACGAACAAGCGCGACTTGCGCGAGAGTGACATAAAGCGCGAGATTTTTATATATTTATTATTATTATTATTTTATTTATTACAATAATTTATTATCTAGATACTCTTAAACCTAATGGGTTTGTTTGAATGTTGATCTATGCGAGAATAACAGTATCTTGCGCTTTATGTCACTCTCGCGCTGGTCCCACCCTGTCGTGCTAGACTTACAGGTAGTCATTCTAGCGAGTGAAGACTGTTTCACGCGTCCACACTATCCGGCTTAATACAGTTATGCAACACACGAGTCTTGGGCAAACAAGTGCATTCGCCAGATCTGCGCGCACCCTTAGCGCCGTGGTCTAAATAATTATTCAGGAAAAAGTACTTTCAAGGCTATAGACAATCAAATTAATCCAGATTAGAAATTAAGCGATATACGTCAATCGTCAAATCATGGGCGGTGGCGCCTGAAGGTTTTTCGACCGTTGTATTAATAAATGTTAGAATCTTCGCCCATTAGGTAATCAATCAATTCCTAGCTTAGATAATGTGTAAGTGTTGTCAACCAGACTAAAACAAATGTCGCTAGACAGAAGGTTTAAATGTTTTTAAAACTGCATTTATCTAAGATTCATTTAATTGGCAAGATATTTATGATCATAGTGCAGCCAAAAGACCAATGCATCTGAAATAATAAACCTACCATATTGAGTGGCATGTTTACAAAGTCAGCTAAGATAAATTATTCGGATAATTATTGTAACTCCATTCCATTCATTCATAAAATCATATTAAATGTTGTAGGATTAATTAAATAGCTGTCAAAAAATTCGCAAATATTGGGTGACGAAATATAAATAAAATGAAATGTCGCTTTTGATTGCCTAATTAATTGTTGCTAAGATGGCAACGCTGTTTGTCCAAAATGTCCTCCAAAACAACCAGTCTATTAGCAGCTCCATCTACCAATTCCGTCACATAATAATCACTTATTGGCATAATAGCCACTTGATGGCATTGTACTCTAAATAGTAATATTGGTGGCGCCCTTTATAATTGACTAGCTGGTGCACGCGACTTCGTCTGCTTAGAATAAGTACTTTCAATAGCCGACTCGTATACTAATACTAATTTTCATGAAAATCAATATGAAAATAAATAAAATAAAATACGTATCAAAATAGTTCAACGAAAGAGAATACAATATTTGGTACATTTTTGTAAACAACGTTTTTTGTTTTTCCATTCTTTGCTAAAATATTTAGATTTTGTAAGCACTGGAAATACAACCCTAATGGCAAGGACTTGAGTATGATTTTCAGTGCATTAAATCATACTCAAGTCCTGGCTTGAGCATTGAGTAGAGTTCCAGAATACGACCCTTAGAGCAGCAGGAGTACATTTAGAAAAAAACAAATTGTTTTCCATGGGCAACTTTATGTGGCATGTTCACGAGTGTGGAGCCCACAAAATCTTGAGCTTTATTTAACTTTATTGCAAATGCTGCTTTCAGGGGAAACTGCACTCTTTTAAGCTGGAACGTTAAATCGATCGGAATTAGAATACGAGGTATTAAAACATCTTCTCTTTTTGCTATTCAATATATTACGAGACGGTATGTAATTTGTAGACGTATGCCATTACAAAGTCTTAGTGCATCAACTTTCAGCCTCAGCTTGTGAGAAGACCCAACTAGATAATTCCAAGGAGTTGAGAAACTTACTTACGGTACTTACTCGCAGGACACAGAACTCTTTTCATTGAGTAGGTACATATCGTCACTGGATAGAAGAAATTACTAACCTCTAAAAGTGGCGCTTTAGTACAGAGTCAAGAACACGTCAAGCTTGACACTTAAGGTTTAAATCCAACTCTATGCCGCTTATGATGAGAACGATCCAAAGTACAAGGTGTCAAGCTTGACGTGCTTTTGACTGTACTTTCGCCATTCCAGCGAGGATATGTACAAGTAAGAAAAAAAATTAAATCATTCACTATTTTATTAATTAGGTGATTGGTCCAAAACGCTGAAACAGTATTTATTTCTTACAAAAGGCATAGAAATTAATTTTCAGACCCCTTACTTGAGGATGATTGGTTGTTCATACAAACTTTCATCCCCTATTTCACCTTATTTTTGTAACAAATAGTAGCCTATGTCCTTCTCCTAGGTCCCATCTATGTCTGTACCAAAATTCAACAAATTTGGTTCAGCAGTTAAGGCGTGATAACGTAATAGACGGACAGAGTTACTTTTGCATGTATAATATTAATTTGGATTACTATCGTTCCTGTAATAGTAACAATGATAATTGTAAAATGGCAACTCTAGTATAATTTAGAGGAAGGGTAGAGTTAGATAAATCTCTATGAGAAGTTTTATTAATTATGCATTAAACTCAAAATATACCGGCCGCCGCGTGGATCAAATTCAAGCCAGACTCGTCCGCGTGCCTGACACGCTGATTTAAGTTAAAACGCAAATGCTAAACAAATAGAGCGTATTTTACCGTGACAGTGAGACGCACGCGGTCGAATAAACACAGGCACATGGGATTTGTCAACTTATGTCTCAGGGTGACAGACGCATTGGCAAGGCCCCTAAGATCTTTACTATTTAAAGCTCTGAGTGGCACTGCAGTTGTTATGGACAGGCCTGTCGCTTACTACCAGGCGCAATTGTTCGTCCTGTCACTTGGTATTATAAAAAAGAATATTGACATATAAAAGTAGCATAATGGAAAACAAACGCATCTAGACATAAAGATAAATATAAGAACATGTTTTCGTCTACATGTTATCTTTCGTATTTGCTCATTCCAAATTAAAACATAATTGACATAAATAATATTTTTGTATGTAAATTATTAATAGCTATTGTGATCACTTAGTTAAACAAACTCTAGTTAAAATAGATAATGATAGTTAAACAATGCGAGTTTTCCTTAAAGATAAATTAATAAGCAATAAACCTCTCTGTAAGGTCTCATTCTTTTTGCCTATTAAATGTCTTACTTTTTTTCCGAGGATGTAGCAGCGCAACGCTGAGGTTCCCCAAACAAAACGCCCAAGGCTCATCTCACACTGGCGCAGAGTCGAAGCTTCGCGTCGCGTCCTGTTTTTCAACTACAACGCCTGGCGATGCGCGTCGTCGACAATCGCGCACTAATGCGCCCGGATCACTGTATCTTATCATCTCATCACAACATTGTGTCTTAATAATGCGAAAATAGAGAGGAATATGCTCTAGGCGAAAAACATAACGCGTCGCGACGCTTCGACTCTACGCCAGTGTGAGTTGAGCCTAACTATTTTAACTGACGAAGTAGCACCGCAACACTGAGGTTCTCCAAACAAAACGTCTGACTATGTTATCCAAAGACGTTGCAGTACAACGCCGAGTTTACCTACAGTGACGTTTCCACCGGGGCGGGCAGTGCCGCAACCATATGTGCTGACTCGAAGCTTCTGGATGCCACGTGTTTACAAAGGTAGATTGTCTCCTTTCGGTATATTGCTAGGTTTTGATAAGGAAGTAACACCGCCTTTACGGCGTCGTAAAATTGGGGATTTCCACGCTAGCAATTTCTAGGATTTAAGTTGGTGAAATCGTGATACAAAAATATATTTACCCAAAATATACACATAGAATGATTAAATGGCTGTTGAACTGTATACTCTCCCAGGTCAGTAACCCGTGCATGTACAAAACATAAACATCGTTTAGTCTACGTCGTGTAGTAACTATTAAATAATCTGAGGTATAGTAGCCAAGTGAGAGAACGAAAAGTTGCGTACATTTGCCAATGTAGTTTAGTAGCAGGAGAGCTCCTTGTGAAAGAGTACGTCCAGGATAGTACTACCACCTTACCTATGCCTGCCGCCAAGCAGTAATGACAACATTACTGCGTTCCGGTTTGAAGGGTAAGGGTGCTGGTGAAATGACAGGCACATGGGACTTGTCAACTTATGTCTCAAGGTGACGGGAGCAGTGGTAGTGCCCCTCAGATCTTTGCAATTTAAAGATCTGAGTGGCACTGTAACTGTTATGGACAGGCGTGTCGCTTACCACCAGGCGCACGACTTGTTCGTCCCGTCACTTGATGTTATAAAAAAAATACTTTATCCGGTCATATAAAATCCTCAAAACAGACTATAATAAAAGTCTGAAACGATTATTTAAGAACAAAATATCTAACTTGTACATTTTTATATGGAGATATAAAAATTATGTACAAATTTATATATTTCTCTTTAAGTTCTACAGAGGACTTGCAAAATTTTGGTTTTCTACTGAATCCATATTAGTTTAACTGCCTCCGTGGCCGAATGATTACAACGCAGGACTACCATGCAGAGGTCCCAGGTTCGATTCCCGGGCCGGAAGAAATATTTGTATGGCCTACATTTATTTCTCTCGTGAGTTTGGGTGTAATTTGTGGTTGTCTATGTATGTGTCCATGGCACCCGCGACACAGGGTTTCCCTAGTGCGGGGCTGTGTTAAGTGTGTGCGTTATTCATATTCTTAGTTATTAAATTCACATTTAGCCAAAAATTTGCAAATTGCCCACTGATTTAACAAACCGCCCTTTGTCAGGTCAGTCGCCATCAGGCGCTTGTCGACGTCGGGTCTGTGTCAAATTTTCTCCGCCTGTTCTGATTTTATTCATAATAAAGATGAAATTTATTTTTATTCACTTATTATTACTTTCAGACATAATATAATACTATACTTGCATTACTTATAAGTGTGCTCAGAATAGTTCAGACATATGGCGCCACCAGTGTGAGCCACAACCTGATTGTTGACTCGATAAGAAATCATTTTTGTACACTCTCGATTGTACAGGAGAACAGCCGAGGTATATTCTACAAGTTGTATTCTATGACAATTTTCTGCTACAATTACAAATTAACTAAAGTAAATCGTAATTTCATAATCGAATCGATAAAAACCTTAATCAATGAGCTTATTGAGCTTAATCAATGGCCTCACCCAACTCCTCGCTATTAACAAGCTTAGAAGCAATAGATCTCATGGCGATGAACGATGTTCCGTTGAAGATCTCCACTAGAGGTCCTGAAAGGGATTAAACGAGGTAATTAAACACAATCATCCTCCAACAGAAAAACATTGCACTTTTAAATAAAACTTAAATTTGAAAGAACGGAAAAACGTTGCAACTATTCATTATTAATTTCAAATATAGAAAGATAACGGCATGAGTTGTGAGGTGTTAAAGTTCATTATTCACTCAACTCATCTGTCATCGCCTCATATACAGTCAAGTTTGATACTTGCCACTTTGTACTTTAACCCGTTTTTGTACTAAGCGCATTGACTTACAAATAAATGGACGACGGGTCTAATACAAAAACCACGAAAAAATGTCCCAAGTCAACCTATTTAAACGCAGTGACATGTAAAGGAATATGAAAAAACTAAAACGTTGAATTTAAATTGTAATGTCATCGCAGTACTGTCTAATTTTGCTTGCTTCGCTGTCAGTCGAACAAACGAAGACTAAAGCGTGAAGGACGCTCTATATACGATTTTAACGCCCTGTAAGTTCAGACACTTTTTAGCGCGGACCCGACGTCATATATTATTGTAAGTCAATGACTAAGCGGCATAAAATTGCTTAACATGCTCTTGACCAATCCACAGGATGGTCCAATGCGAATTGAGGTCATCAGATGTCTTCGAAGAATTTTGTTTATCTTTTGAAACATATCGTGCAATTAATAATTAGAAAAACTAGACTGCACTTGATTCCAAAGTGACTCAGTAGTGCTATCGCCCTATGAGAACAGAACACAGCACCTCCTACCTCCTCGACAACCATTTTCCTAACCAAGTCATTATTGCTATATAATTATTTAATGCTATATAACTAGAATAAGTCATCAAAAGTATCGGTTAGTTGTCGTATAACGACACTGATAACCAGAAAAAAGGACTATGAAATAAGAAAATGTAAGGAATAGAAAGAATACAATAACTTCCTACGAAAGAAAAAGGGAAAAAGATGAAAAAGAGGACTTAAGAATGTAATGGAGTAGGGTGAGTAATGAAGACAGAAAGGTGTAACGGAAAAGTAAAAAAATGAGGTACGTGATTTCGCCAAATGTCGATATCTATACAAATGATCATGTACATACCAAAATAAATGGCAGTTGTAGTCCTGGCAAAAGCAAAGATGAAGGAAGCTAATATCTTGCTGGTGCAGGAAATGATGCCGACTATTGTGTCATCCAGCTTCATTAAGTCGCTAAAGATACTGATAGAGAACAATGTGCCTGAAACAAACAATGATACTACCAATATTATAATGTTTTCTGATTGTTTCTGATGTACAATGTTTAAGTTCCTAAATCAAATAGAAGTGACTATTGTTTCTAAGTTTAATATCTTGTAAATTACCAAACTTGGGATTCTAAGCAGTTGGGTACGTCTTATTAGACAAAGAAAATTACTTCCGAGAAAAAAGGTCGAAATGGTTCCTGTAATATAACACACTCTTATATAACAGGAACCATTTCGACCTTTTTTCTCGGTATATTCCACACACTCTTTCGGTATGTCCTTCGGTTTCTGAAGTCTTAAAACTCTTACTTAGTATATATGATTATCGGGAACTTAAATATATACATATCTATATACCTCCCACGTTGTTGTAAGCTAAAAAATAGCATTTATTACTTTTTATTGAATTATAAATATATAATTTTTATGTGTATAATAAGGTTTCATGTTTAAATTTTTTTTTCAAACAAACAAACGGTTCGGGCCCTTTACAAATCCCATGGTCAAAAGTGACATGGTTCATTTCCTATGTGTAACAATCGCGAAAACCTAAGAACTCGATAAAAACATTTAGTGTTTTGTCGGTATATTTTTTATATATATATTTTTACATATTTATTAATACTAAAGTGCTAAAGCACACATTCCAATTGAATAAATAACACACCAGCTAATTGTACATACCTATTAAGTTGGTGATGATGCTGTAAGTGCAAAACATGCTGAACTGGACCTCGTCCCAGTTGAAGCGAAACCGCATGAAGAGATATAAAACGTTCATTTCCCCTGTACAAATATAAAACAAAGAAATTACAAAACAGACAGTGAAAGATTGCGTTGACGCCTAATGAATGAACATTAAGTAAAATTGGCCTAAAGCATATTCACTGTCAGACCAGCAATTTTCCTCACGATGTTTTTCCTTCGCATTTAAAGCAAATATTATATAATTTGATCTTACCATATAAAGGTCCAAAAATTACACAAACGACAACGATCAGCAGTGACACTCTAAGTCTCCGCCGCCGAGGTCCAGACCTGAAAGCCACTGTAAGCGTCTCCCGCACGTGTCGAGCGTCGAAGAAAGAACACATCCAGCCTCGACAGGTTCGCGGCAGCTCCTGAAAAGGAATTAATGTAAATAAAAATACAATGAACGTCATAATGAGAGTATTCGATTTATTAAGAGCATGGAAATGTCAAACCGATGTAGTAATGACATCTTCAACACATTTAAAACGCAGGTTGTAAGTTAACACGTTACAAACTAAGTATATATCGAGTTCTTAGGTTTTCGCGATTGTTACACATAGGAAATGAAACTTACAGGATGCAGG